ACTGACATATATATATATATATATATATATATATGACATCGCTGAGTACCAAGTACCACCCCATGACCATCCTAGTTGTGTTCATCCAAATGTTTTAGTATTCAAGTATTCTGACTTTATAAGGAGCACAACACAGCAATCCAATTATACTGAAGGTGTATTTCTGTGACATATAGGGTGAACTAATGCACGAAGTACATTTGGCAGTTTTATGTTTTAATTATTTCTCCAATCTGAGTGGTGAAGTGGTTTGCAGAATAAGGTTCTCATTGGCATGTTCGTAGTCGGTTTAGTCTGTCATGATGGAATGAAAATTCCATGGTCATTTAGGATGGATAAAAATGGTACACTAAATTGGAGCTGATTAACATAAACTAAAAGCAATTGTTTATTTTATTTCGGTTGCCGTGGAGGAGGAGGGAGGGAGGGAACTGTCCTGAATGCAAGCGAAAACAGCCAATTTTAACTGGGTATTAGATCATAATTTATTACTGCCGTATTCCTGTGATGAATAATTCAGGGAAGGTCCGTGGGCAGAAACACGTAGAAATGGTAGCATCCATGCCGGCATAATCGCACACTCAAATGCATGTTTGCGGATGAACAAAAAACGCTGCTTGAAGGGTCGCAGTCCATTTACTACTGGACAGAAGTTTGGTGATGGGAAAAATAAAAAGGGACTCTTCCGATCTTGCAGTTTTTTTCAAAACCTCTATCTCCAGAAACATAGATTATTTTGGATTCTAATAGGGCATTCACACATGCCAAATTATAGACCCGTAACAGATCGATCTATCCACTTTAACTGTCCTCGAAATTGACGTATCCCTCTATGGATATAGTCTGATTGGTTCCTGCTGACGGACCAATCAGTGTCGAGCGGGTATCATTTTGTCCTCCGTTCGTGTGGCAAACAACCTCAGGTTGACCGAGCGCGCGCACATAGTCCTGACGCAAATGCACAGCGAAAAACCACGCTTGCTACATGTTACATTGTTCCTGAGAATATCTGAATAGTGTTGAATGTGTGAGACGAACGGTCTATCACGCCTAGGAAATAATCACCGCCTAATCAATGAATATGTTTGATACTTTCAAACTTCACATTGATTGCAAGTGCAGACTTCGGAACATGCTTTTCCTCACATTTGGAGTATACCTTCTATGTCTTATGCCGGTCGAGTCTCGTGTCGACGATTCGGATGTGAAACCTTGGAATGGTTGGTATCAACACCATGATCCAACGGGAAACTGGCCTGAATATTGGCAGACCATTACTCGTCCATCAGGTATGCTCGGGCATCTGTGGTTTGTTTGCATATGTGTGTGTGCGGGTGTTTGAATGATGGGTTTGTTTATTTTGCTCACTTGTTTACGTGTTGAGGAAGTAAACAAAATTGATCGCTTTGGTCAAGATGGTCTGGTGAACAGAAGCTATGACAACACCAGTGGGAGTACTGGGAAACAGAACAGCTGAGGCTGAGCTAAAACTTCTAACTTGTCTGGTACTTATTCGCAACTGGTTTTCTCCACTTAGAGTTTCCCCTTTATCCTTGAAGTTTTCCAAGTATGTTTAGTCACTCAGAGATTGAAAACCCGTTTCTATAGTCCTTGTTAAGTACGTATGAAAGCGATTTTAGAGAATCCCACAGGTGTTAACTAATTGAACAGATTCGTTTTGTGATTTCTAAAATTGCAATCGAAACCAAACGGCCACACCCAGTGTTGGCATTTGTTATTCAGCACATGATTGACTGAATAAGCCCGTTGTGAACTGCAAACCATCGGGAAATTATCGATTTTACAGCTCTTGTAATCGATAGACCTCCTCGCGCACATGTTCAAAACGAGACGCGAAACAAACAGTTAGGTATATGATAATTTGCTGTTCACCAAAACACGGCGACCACAGCGCTTGATGGTTTAAAGATATTTTTACTAAATTTTATTTTATTATTAAAAAAATTGGTAGCTGTCTACGTGTTTGTTTTATCCTATTTAGCGTTACTCTGTACGGTCGGCCTTCTATATCTTGCTACTACCATCCAAACAATCTGGAAGAGAGCTCCATTGTTGTCGGGATCAACATCGCGCATTCAACCCAACGAGATATTTTATTGTTCACTACCTGCAATCTCAGTGCTTATGATCAATGTAAGCAAATTCAAGCTCCTTCAATGTGAGCAGCACTGCAAATTACTGACCCGTAGGGAATCGAATACACACTCTGAAGAACATCTTTGTAAATTGTCACGGATTTACTCATGTTTTTTGCCTCTGATTTCAGAGATAGCTTTGATAATGGGATAGAATCGTTTCAAACTTGTTCCGTCTGATTCCAATATAGTAAGATCTAGTATGCATGCTTGCTGCTTCTTGACAGTCGGGTATCCCTCTCAAGTTGCGAGTTATACGTGCCATGCTTATACAAGGCATATTTCGGGTATTCTGATGACGGTTTCTGATAGATATGATCATTCCGCATATCAGGGCAAATGTCATGGACGGCCAGATGTATTTTCCCTTTCTACGGACAAAGTTTATCGTGTTACAATCTAAACTTCATCAGCAATACCGATCAAGATGCAGTAATTACAATATGTGTTGATTTTTAGTTAGCCACCATAAATGTACACACTGTCATATGGAAAAAACGGTGCAGTTTTCTATTGGTTTAAAGTTCACCTGTTGATACATACGTGTGTAAATAAATATTTATGTATATACGCAGTTCAAGGTATAAAACCAGCATAAAGCTGCCGAATGTTGTTTGAAAATATCGTTCAAGTATTCTTCGTCTGTCGCACTCAAACTGATATTCAAGCACTATCGGTCCTCATTACAACATTCGGGAAGTATTACGTGCGAATCACGCCACTACATAAAAATTACCAGGAAGCAGCGGCATAATTAGAGTGAATAAAATATCCTTTGCGCGAAAGTCACTATTCTGATAACTACTTGAATTGATTGAAAAAATCGAGACAATAGAGTAGGTGTTTGGAGTTGTCTTCCGAAATACTGTGTGGACATATGGTCGACGTTAAATTGTCCTAATATTTTTGATCAGGCATTGTACGCTGATAATGCTTACTATACAAAGGCCACTTCACAAGCACTGATGATGTCACCTCGGCTGGTGATGAAACGTTCGCAAACAAATTGCCAAGCTCGGCGAACAGGCAAAATGGAATACAAAGGATTATGCAATAGAATAGCATCACATGGTTAATCATTTTATCTAAACAACCATGTCAACAGATACATGTTTTCTTCGTAAGGTTTATCAAACCGATATTTATCCGATGAGCGGCGGGCAAATTCAGATCGGAAGAGCAGATAATAGACAATTGTGTTTAGTTGAAATAAATTATCTGTTTATTTTTTTCCTATTCAATTATTCTGAATAGTAATTTATTTAAAAAGGGAGTATTCCTGGATTTATCCGTAATTTCTCCAAGAGAGAGAGAGAGAGATAAATGTGGGATGGAAATAACCATTTGTCTGTCTGTTGTCAAGGAAAGACAGCGATAAACCAGGGCAATGACGCGATTGTCTCACTGTCCATTTAGCGAAAGGTGCTTTCTAATCACAATGGACACCTGCTTTATTCAGCGTGACCCAGTGATATGCTTTTGTGGAATGATATTTTTCTAAGTGAAATCATCAGGTATTATCAATGTGGATTGATGGTCCTATTTGAAAACTGTTTGATTTGTTCCAGCAGAAGGGCCAAACATCAAGTGTTTTAGTACAGTCACTGTGCCAATACGCTAGTAATACACCTGATGTTTGTGTTATTATCGACCTTCAAATGTTTTGCTTTAGTTCTGCACTATTTTGGCAATATACAATAGAAATTCGACAAACGTTTCTACTCACCATCTAAAAATTACAGAAGCGCGCAAATGAATGGTGACATGGATTTTACCTGGAATCTTCAGACTCAGCCGTTGTACTATTTCATAACGGAAAATATTGCTGACAGACCTGTAAACACTGTTTTCATTTCAACTTGGCTGTCAGCTTATTAAAGATAGGTGTTATCACATTTAACACCACAAACACTTATTCTTCAGTGTTGTAAACCCGTACAGAGTCAGCAAAGTGAGCTTCATTGAGGATATCAGCTGTACGTACACCGCTTATCCTGCAATTATTCAGTTGCCCCTTAAGTGATCAAATGTGTGGTGTGCTCGTTTCCCGAGTTATTCTTAGCGCAATCGAGGAAGATGAATTAACTCATCGTCCCTCCATCAATAGTTCACTAATCCAGTGGTGGTGCTGCGTATTCTCCCTTCAGGTTTTCAAAAGACCACAAAAGGAGTTTGTTGTCCAAGACAGCGCAAAGTACGTTTTAACTTGTTCCTTGTCTGTCGTGAAATAGAATCGATACATTTTTGATAATCACAATCAATGAAAATTAGTGCAGAAAAATATTATGAAGAACAAACGCAATTTGGGGCGTTTTCCTACAGTGCATTGATTATTTTCCACTTTTCGGCTCTCTGAACGAACAAGGACAAGAAACCCACATTTGTTTTTTTCATGAAAACTTTTCTATACACCAGTATTTTAGGCTAACTTACACATCTTTCGTGCAAATAGTGGCTTCATAATAAGAAAAATAAATATTTACATGTCATTATGTTCAATAACCCTATTCAATAATGAAGTAAAATTACGCCCTCTATCTGTGTTTCTGTTCAGCCCCGATGAAACCACTGAACCTATATTTGGTAAGTATACACAAACGGCCTCGACCGCAGTCTGTACAACCGAGTCATTTGACCTATCACAGTGTCGGAGAACAGTCGTACCTGTCAGTCGAGCTCGCCTGGGATCCACCAGAAGGTTTACGAACTAGTCAGCAGGTCACCTATCAAGTTTATACTCAGCTGATTGGTCCGGAAGATCTGGTGGCCGAATTGTCCACTCAGCCGGGACTGGAGCCCGGCAACGTCAACCCATCTATGATTGCAGGTGACCAATACCCGGGTTCAAACATGCTTTTGCCTGCACCTCTGCGACGTCGTCTTTTGGCGAACGTAACGGGGAATACATTCCGATCCTCCGAGAGTGATGATATTGGTACGTTATACATATGCTTACGCGGTTAAACCAATTCCAATCCTGGTGTTATTTTTCTGCTTCTGGATTTTCTCAGGTTCAGAAATGAGTGTAGACGGCACTTGATTAAATGAATCCTTCTGTTTAGTCTTGAAATCCTGAGAGATACACAAGCATAGCCAGTAATCGCGCAGCTTTTTACGAATGCAAAAGCCAAGCTCCTTACATCTAAAATGAGAAATTGAATACGTGTGTACTATCTTTATGGTTTCCGCAACCATAATACGAACACTTCGCTGGCTGAGATGACTCTGTCCTCATTAATCTCTACTAGTATTAGTTTCATAACTCCTGAGATGGTGGACTTAACTAGTAGCCTCCACTCAAGAGTTCATACTAAAACTTGTATTGCTTGTGTACAAATATCCTCGTTGACTTATTTTTCACAGTGCTCTGAAGTATCAGTGAATGATTTCTCATTTTACCGATGAGATCGAAGAGCCGAGGTACAAAACGGTCATGTTAATTCGACAGATGACGTGGAAACCATGTACAGAGCCATTAGGTAGAGTGGGTGTCTTACGCCTTCCAGGTTGGGGTCCGTAAGACTCCACAACTGGTTGGTTGGAGACATTGAAGGATATGTCAGTAAACCGATAGCAATGGCGTTCTTCTTTTCGTTTCTTATCAGGTCAGAATGCTTGAAACAGTATGTTTGCAGAGTTCGATTGCGTACTCTGTGTGTTGACCACAGAGGTTCACCTTCTTCCCCTCTCTCAAAGTAGGGCCAATAACTGTTCACCTTAAATTTTACCACTAATGTTCTATGCATTGCGAGTTTGGCAGCGATCAGTGATGTTCGGCTCACTGTATTTCGCTGTACGGTGATGATGAGTCAAGGAATCGCTCATGTGCACCTCGAAGGGTGAGTAGTCAGTAACCTCGTATTCAGTCTCTCGTAATTTCTCATCTAATAATTTAACGGTATCAAATACCTAACCGTGCAGTTTCATCGAAGATTTTACTCGTTTCACCTTACTTGTATAAAGTCCCTCACTGTATGCAGTTCCACCGTAGATCATTCTTCTCTCCCGTTGGATCGTTTGTTACCTCATGGTTAAATGTAAAGCTTGGTAGCGATCAGTGATGCTCGCTTCACTGTATCTCGCTGTACGATGATGATGATGATGAGTATATTCGTTGGAGGTATTTATTTCCTTCTATCACCAGATATGATTGATCTCTGTTACCCACCCAGAAGAGGTTGCTCTGCACTGAGCAAAGTGATCACCAGCCCCACACAATCTTCACATAATAGCCAACTTATTGAATATCTATGTCGTGTTCTACACTCTTTCTTTTCGACCGACAATAGAAAAATAAATAATCGTTATTTATTTAGCGTGAGCTCTGTCAACTACCTAGGACTTGTTGTATGTAAACAGCAATCTTTGAAGGTTATATCCATAGTTGCGTTGGTAAATTGTGATGTCTATTACTTCAAATTCAAAACATCAGGCAATTTTGCATTTCACGAACACTTATTTATATTACTCTAACCACATGAGGTTTTCCTATTTAGTCTTACCACTTTCCTGTTAATTTATTTTCATTATACTTCCGCCCAATGAATTTGTTAGCCGCGTTTCCTTACTTTCTGTAAATTAGCTGAATATGAAGGCTACACCCCACCAGATAATAGTAACTTCTCAGCAATAATTGTTGGAGAAACCAAACAATCGGTGCATGCTGGATATCCGTGCCAACCTTCCCTTTCGATCTCAATCTCTGAATTCTGATATTTGCCTTATAACAAAGGGAGCGGGAAATTGGCAAGTGAACTCCGCCTTAACCCTAAGTGCAAATAATCACAGTTGGCAGAAATACGGTAGCCTCCCCTCGCCCCCCCCCCCCAAGGCAACACATTCAATGTTGGCTGTCATGGATTGCAAGTTAAATTACCCTATTATTCCGTGAATAGGCTCTCTCACGGTAGCAATGCAAATTCTAGCAAACGGTTTCTGGTATTGCTCTTTTAATTATTCAATTGATCTATACCTTTTTCAGTTTAAGATGTCCGAATATCACTTTAAGATGTCACAATATGAATTTAAGATGTCCGAGTATCAATTTAAGATGTCATGTTTCTATGTGGATAGTACGTTGCATAGTATAGAGTGAAAACATAGCAACATGACACCTTAAATTGATACTCGGACATCTTAAATTCATATTGCGACGTCTTAAACTGAAAAAGGTTTAGTTCATTTTGTGCAATTTATTAAACAAATAAAACGACCAGTTGCATTCCGGCGATCGATTCCTATTCCACGTTTTCTGTTCTTGATGAGATCAATGCGGATCAGATTGAGCAAATCCCATGCTTTCACAATGATCATTTCTTTCCAATCTTGGGTTCTTCTTTACGCGGCATGAATCTGTCAAGAAAGGGATGCCAACAAATCACAATGGAATTTGTAGCCTAATTTTAAAGACTCAGACATATCACGAACTAGCCTTTGACCAAAAGTACCTGCAACCGTTCTTTTACTGCTTAAAGTTGCAAGTAACCTCATCATAGTTTATGTTTTAAACTGTTATTTTATTTTCCGGCGTCGATCCATGATCGATTTTGTCGAATAATTTGAATATATCCATAAATAGTGCATGGTTTTTCTGGATTTCCTCAGCGATAATTGCTCTGGTGATCGGTCAATCTCACGATCTCCTACAGTGTTATCACTAACAGATAATTCATGTTACTTAGTATCCAGTCTTATTTGTTTGAGCTTTACGTGATAGACTGGTCAGTTCGGAACTTAGGAAATGGCTTCTATTTGAGTAGTAAATTGTGATAACAAATGAAAGTATTTATCATTTCGATCGACACTGTACCCTTGTATTCCACTGTTTTACTCAAAAAGCGGTGGTGATTTTGATGGCTGTGGTGATGGTGCTATAGTTCTATTTGATCCATTCCGAACCAAGATTAATTAATTTTTCTCACTTCCAGGGTTTTGAAACACTTTTCGAGTGCTCCCTATCATGCCGTACTGGTTATTCAGTCCGGGAAATCACATGGAAGTGATCTTATGAAAGTGCCATAGTTCCTCAAGTAGAATGAAGTGATATCTTAAATGTTAAATAATGAAATTAGTCCCCCCCCGCAAAACAAAGACGCCTGCTCGAGATTCATTGAATCGAGAAGCGAAAGTAAATTGAAAATATCTGGATTACAGAGACGTCAAAATGAAGTGATTCTACTAGACAGATGCCCAGGCAAACCTACTTGTAAAGAACTGAATGCTCATTTTGACCAATGTCCCATCACTGAGTGCCTGTCACATACACAAATTGGAATGATTCAGACGCTTGCTGCTGCCCAGAAGAAGAAGATGACTCACTCATTCGTCTCGATGACCGAAATGGGCAACTCGAGGGCTTTTAATTCCCAGTTCAAGCTGTAGCAACAACAACGACAACAACAATAATAACAACAACAACAATCCCATTTCATTCACATAGCTTCTCCCATCTTTGTCATCAACACTTTGAGGAACCGTATTCGGCGAGTGCCAACAAATGTGGTTGTCTGTGTGCGAACACATGCGATTCGGGTATTTGGTCTGGCAAAGAAGGAACCGTGTGAGCGA